TTTTCTTCTTTAACCTATTAATATGAAGGATTACTTTGGCTTCTTAGTGCTGAATCAACCTTACATCCCTAGGAAAAGCCTCACTTGATTCTGGTGTATTATTATTTTTGCATATAGCTGTTGCATTTTGCTGACATTTTAAAGGATTTAGTGTGTGTACTCACAAGGGTTTTTGGGTGTGGCTTTCTTGTAATGTCTTTGCCTAGTTTTGATATCAGAACAATGTTGGTCTATATTCTGGAAGGGATTCTCTATATTATTCTATAAATTTTTGATAGAATTCACTTCTAAAATTATCTGGACTCCTGCTTTTCTTTATGGAAAGACATTAATTACGAGTTTAATTTCCTAAATTAATAGAGGGCTATTCAGTCTATCTCTTCTTTAGTGAGTTTTGGTATTTTGGATCTTTGAAGGCATTTATTTAGTATGAGTATGGATTTAGAAGTGTTTGTAGAGTTCCTTTATACTTCAGTACCCTTCAGGGTCTATAGTAATATCCACTCATTCATTTCTGATTTTGGTTACTGGCTTCACATCCAATGATTTTTCTCAATACTGTTTTATTGGGCTGGAGATACAGCTCAGTGGTAGAGTGCTTGCCTGGCATGCACAAGGCCCTGAGTTCAACTCCCAGCACCACCAAAAAAGAAAAAACAACAAAAAAACCTGCCTAGCAAGCATGAGGCCCTAAGTTCAAACTTCAGTACAACTAAAAAAATATATACATACTATTTTATTGTTTTCTACTCTTTTATTATTTTTTTTCCATCTGCTTGCTTTGGGGTTAACTGGGCACTTTTTAGAAATATTTTGGAGTAGAAACTTAGGTTATCATTTTGAGACCTTCTGTTATCAGCATTAAATGCTGTAAGATTCCTCTTAAGTACAGTATTAGCTACATCCAGTAGTTTTGACATTGAGTTGTCATGTTCCCTTGTAAGTTCTTTTTTTGTGGGGGAGAGATAGTGGACTGGGGGGTTGAAATCAGAGTTTCACTTGCAAAGGAGGTACTCTACCGCTTGAGCCACACCTCCAGTCCATTTTGCTCTGATTACTTTGGAGGTTGAGGGGGGAGGGTCTTACAAATTACTTGCCAGGCCTGGCTTCAAACAGAGATCCTCCCAATCTCACTCAGCCTCCCAAGTAGTTAGGATTACAGGTGTGAGTCACCGGCGCCAGGGTCCCTTGTGAGTTCTTTGAGCCAGGGTAGTTATTAACAACTATATTTAGAAATCACAAACAGTGACATCCTTGAGATTTCACCCAGTGAAATCATTTGTTAAACATCATTCCAAGGTTTCAGGGTCCTATGTGTCTCAAGGAACAAAAGTGCCTTCCTAAACATCTAGCATCCCACTAGGAGGAGCAGGGAAGCACCTAAATCCCCAGTCACGTTCCAGTCCATTTGTCTGCACATTGATAATCAAACATCCTTTTTGTGCATTTGATGGGACAAGGAGAACACAAAAAAATTGGTTGGTTGATGAAATTCAATAAGTTTTAAAAAAACTATATTTAGTTACAGACTATTTGGGCAGTTTTCAAATTTCAGTTTGGTGTTCTCTTAATTTGTTATGCTCAGAAAATATACTCTGTACTGTTTTTTTGTCCTTTTAAATTTATTGAGACTTGTCTTATGGCCCAGCATGTAGTTCCACGTGTGCTTCAAAAGAATGTGTGTCCTGCACGATTAGGTGGAGCATTTTATGTATATTCGGTCAGAGTTTGAAGTGTTGATGCCATTCAGGTTTCTAAGTCCTTTTCAGTTTCCTTTCTAGATCTTTACATTGTTGAGAATAGCATGTTGAAATCAGCTACTATTATTGTTGGATCCTTTCTCCTTTCATTTTGTGTTTGTAGGCAAGAAATTGGATCTTGCTTTCTAACTGGGCCTGAAAATTTCTGCTTTTGCTTGGGGATTTTAAGACCATTTGTATTTAATATAATTATTAACTCGTATAGCTCTACTCTTTTCCCTCATTTTATGATTTATATTATACCTGTATGTTATAAATCCAACAGTACAATATGATAATTATTACTTTCTATAGTCTCACATGTAATTTGTTGTAAAACCTATCTGTAGTCTTTCATATTAATGCACATATTCCAGTGTTCTTCCTGTGGATTCCAGTCACTTTCTAGTAGTTTCCTTGTAGCCTAAAGAAATTCCTTTCATATTTTGTGCAGTATAAGTTTGCTGTCAATGAATTCTGTCATTCCTTATGTATCTCGGTATATCTTTATTCCACCTTTATTTTTGAAAGATAAAGTACTGGTTATATGACCCCTGGCTGATAGTTTTTCTATCTTCACCAGGAGTATGTCTTTCCATTCCCTCTGGCCTGCATTGTTCAGACAACAAGTCGGCCGTTAATTCTGCTGCTCTCACACACAGAAAGCATCACACTGGCTGCTGTCAAGATTTTCTTTCCATTTTCATCTTACAGCAGCTTATGTTGTTGAGTTTCTTACAAGTATAGGTTAAAGTTTTCTATCAAATTTGGGGAGTCTTGCCATTATTCTTCAAGTATCTTTTCTGCCTACACTTACAAGTGTTGGTGTATGAATGATGAAGAGACTCGTTCATTTTACATTGGGTGTTTTCTGTCTGTTTTTCATGTTGGACAACTCCCATTGATCTGTCTTCAGAGTCACTGATCCTGTCTTCGGCCATTACAGATCTGCTGTTGAACTCAGGAGTGAAGTTTTCATTTTCATTTACTGTGCTTTCAACTCCAGAAATTCCATTTGGTTCTCTTTTTGTAATTTCTTTCTCCCTCTTGAGAATCTTTATTCGTTGATTCCTGGTCTGTCATATTTCTCTTTAATTTTTAAGCATGTTTTCCTTTAGTTCTTTGAAAATATTTATAGAAGCTTTTTTGTCTGCTAAATTCAACATCTAAGGACACTTGGAGACAATATCTGATGACTTCTTTTTCTCAATGTAGGTCATATCTTGCTATTTCTTTACAGAATTTTTCATTTCCGAGCATACGTGTTAGCATCTCTGGATTTTTATCTTTGCTTCTAAAGGTGGTCGTCGTTTCTGCTTGATGTTCGTTAACATTCCTCAGCTAAACCTCTCTGAACTGTCGCCCTTGCAACTCAGAGTTTTGGGGCTTTTTGTTGTTGTTTGTTCGTTTGTTTTAACGAAAGTTATAGTTAAGATTATCAGGAAAGGAATTCACTTTTAATTGCATGAAAGCAGGTCATCTCTAGAAAGAATGAGAATGACCTTGTTTGGGGGGTTTTGGTTTCTTTGTTTTTGTGGTACTACAGTTTGAACACAGGACCTTAACGCTTGCCCTGTCTGGCAAGGCACTTTACCGTGTGAGCCGCAGGCTCAGGTTTTTATGTTTGTTTCTGTTTTAGCCCAGCCTCCTGGAGTTTATACCTATGTCCAGGTAGATTGGCAGGAAGCCTGTGAGTGTGGACACGTCAAGCCAGTAAGGCTTGTCTCCTCTGTCAGTGGAACTGTAGGGACATGCCTTCCCAGTCACGTCATTTTCAAGTTAGCCCCAGCATTTGTTCCTCCCAGGCCCTTGTTTTGCTATTGCTTTTGGAGTTAGAATCTCTGTGTTGCCCAGACCAACACTGAGCTCCCCAGCACTAGTGATGCCCCTGCTTCAGAGTCCCGTGTAGTGGGGGTACAGGTACACACCACTGTCCTCATCTTGGTGAGCCCTTTTCTATCTCCTTCACACCTGTGTGCAGCCTCAGCCCCGGAATAGGCTTGCTCAACCACTGAGCCTGGACACTTCCCACTGCTCCCTGTCAAGTGAGCCTCATCCTGCCCTGGCAAGGAAGCCACAGCTGCCTATCTCCACAGCCTGCTCTGCCTCACATGTCCCAGTAGGAGAGGGGAGTACAGAGGAGAAGGCAGAGATGGGATAGACAGAATGCCACAGATTCCCACTGTTCTTGCCGGAAGTTGAACAGTTTTCCAGCATAAACACTTCTCAGATGGCTGTTTGCCTTTGGCTGGTTGCCAGAGCACTGATGTGGTTGTTTGGTTAGCATTGTACCAATGCCAGCCTTACAGTTGCTGCTTGGGAATAGGATTATCTGATGCCCTTTCATGGCTTCAGAAGCCTCTCAGCTGACGGTGAGTTTGTTTTGTAGACTCATAAATTCTCAGTGTCCTTTGAAGTTGGGTATACTGTGCTTGTCAAGCCGACTTTCTGCTTTTAAAACTGAAACAGTTGCTCACTAAGCTCTATCTACTGTAGCCTGGCTGTGAGCTCAAGGTAGTAGCTTTTACTATTCATTCATGCAAAAATTGCCTTTTGCTATTTTCAGTTTAATTTTAAAAAAAAAAATAGGGAACAAATGTACAGTCAGAAATTATTTTTCTTTCCTAAAAAATTATTCCAAGCTGCCCTGGAACTTACTGTGTAGCCCAGGCTGGTCTCAGACTCACCATCCTTCTGCCTCAGCCTTCTCAAGAGCTGGAATTGCACACATGCACCACCACAACACCTGGCTGTAGAGTTTTCTTAGGTACTGAGTACAAGTACCAAGTACTTCCATGTCTGAGGATTACACTACATTTAGACAAGTGTTTATAACTAGAACTGTCATTTACTTTATAAGAATGGCTTATTAAATTCCACTTACCATGCCTTTCTTGCCTCTAGGGCCTCATGTGGCCACCTAGAAACTGGCCTAGTGTTTGTTTATAAACTATAGGTAGTTTTTCACACTGAGATAAGAGTTACTTTAAATTTTTTGGTCTTGTCCCAATTAAAAGATTTGTTAATGTGTTTAATTTGAATTTCATTCTTAAAGACTAGAGTCTGTTACATTTTCCTTCAGATCTTTTCTTTGAACATCCTTCTGTTGTATGTTTTTATGATAGTGAAAAATCACCTGATACATGATTTGCCTTCACAAATAGCTTTCTACCAGGTAGCTAGTAGTCATACAAATAGTTTCTCAGTTATGATAATTCACTTTAGAGAGAGTTGTGTGGACTCTTGGTCTATCTCTTACAGGTCGCTTTGAAGAGGAATTCATCAAAATGCGCATGGAGAGGCTTCAGGCCTGGATGACCAGGATGTGTCGGCACCCAGTGGTCTCAGAAAGCGAGGTTTTCCAGCAGTTCCTGAATTTCCGAGATGAGAAGGTAGGACGATCTATCAGTATGGTCTTGGTGAAGTGAATGTTGTCACTTCACACTGAATCATGTCTAAACCATGTTGGTTACCTGTCTAAAGACAAAGGGGAGACAACCCTAAATCGCAGCCATAGAGAACTGGTTGCACAAAATGAAAGAACCACCAGCCAGCCAGTAGGCCCTGGTGAGTGGGGTAAGTGGGAAGCCCGTATTTGAGTGAGAAGTTCTTTTGGAGATACTGTTAAAAAAATAGTACAGACCACAGATGAAAAGGTGCTGTCAGTGTGAAGCAAAGGGAACGGGGGAGTGGTTCCTCTGATCACTTCAACCCCACAATACTACAGCATCATGGAAAGTAAGTCCAGTCAGATGAGCCATTTTTCTTGGGGCCAAGTCCTGTTTTTATAACCATACTTGTGAGTCCCTTGGGGGTGACCATCTGGTCTTACTAAAATCAAGAGAAAACTGGCTGCTTCACATCTCATTACTGGTTACTTTGGAAATTGTTTTCTCTCAACAAGCTCTACTTTACTCTGTGTTATATTGTTTTATTCTCTAAAGACATTTTCCCCATAATTTTACTTCTTTCCTAACAAATACTGCATATTTCAGAAACCACTCTAAAGAGTAAAAACATGAGTTAGCTCAGAAGCAGCAGCAGGTGGGAAATATGTTATGACCCTGGAAAAAATTAGTCATTTTTGTCTTTATTGAAAGTTAATAGAATATCTTATACTTTGTTGGAACTTTCAGAGATTTACTCACCAAACATTCACTAAAGTGTTTTTTCCTTGCTGAAGTGAACACATTTACAAAAACTGTGAAGTATTGGATCTCTGTGCATGTTTGCAGACTCGTGTGTATATAGCTCTTCCTAAATTTGACAGGTGTATTTGGTGCATTGTGTGTCACCAGGTAGGGATTAGCAAACACTGAGGTGCTTCAGCATGTCTTTGTGTCTGTCATATAGATGAGTCTTGCAGGCTACTCTACCCAGCCCTAGTTTGCCTAGCAAAAAATGGTATTTATTCACAATATGTATGTCCTGGTGCTGTAGTGAAAGGAGTTCTTTGAATGAGTTCTAACTGTTTTGTTACTTTGTAGTTACAGAAACTATTTGGAGCCCCTCCGAGTTATTGTCTTTTAATGACCCATAGGACTTTATCAAGGGCTTATTACACTGATTTGCCAAGAGTGTGAGTTAGAAAGCATTTCTGAAGGTCATGTTTGATCCATAGTATGGTTTAAGAATAATAGTAAATCCCAGACATTGGTTGTTTTGTTTTAATGGGTACCACCTTCAAAGATCAGCTCATCATAAAAGTGGTACAGAAGAAAAAAGAATGAAATTGGAGTCAGGGCACTTGCCTTCTAGTCTCTGGCCTACTTCTGATTACTGCTGTGATCTTGGTTAAGGCATTCATTCTCCTCAGGCCACAATTTTCCTCACTTGCTAAATGACTGTATAGAACTAGAAAACACTATTTCTGTGGTTATTACTAGCTAATACAACGATGAACATAGAACGCCTCAAAGAATCTACATAATTACTAGAAGTAAATAAAAGTAAAAACATAGCTGTGGTGTTCTTTGGAGAAGGCAGAGGTAGGAGAACTTTCCTGGATGTCAGACTCACTGTAGAGCTGAAGTCATTTTAAACGTGGTGTTGGCATAAAGGTAGCACTATGGAAACTGCATCAGGTGATGCTGGCCATTCCTGTGAAGTTTCATGTCCCTCTTAAACTGATAGTAAGAAGTGATTCAGATGTTGGTAGTTGTTAAAGCCATCTGTGGGAGTGTACTTCTGTACATGTTTCAAAGTTTCCACTGTGTACAGACAGGATTTAAGACCTAGTTTCAGGTGGTTCACATACATAAATATGAAAGGCAGCACAATTACCATTCTACAAAATGACTGGTAGAACTTCTTTCTCCCTAGTATTGGAGACAATTTCTAAAATAAGATTCAGGAAAAAGTGACTAGACAAAAGGATGTAAATAAGTTACAGTACACTAAAATTATGAACTTCTTTTTATGGGATGAACCATTAAAAGTTCAAAAAGTAGCTGGTAGAGTAGTTCAAGTGGTAGAGTGCCTGCCTAGCTAGTAAGTGTGAAGCTCTGAGTTCAAACTCCAGTACTGCCAGAACCAAAAAAAAAAAAAAAAAAAACTACCAAATAGACAATATTTGCAACAAACCAACAAAGGGCTAAATTTTGAAAACCATATAAACGATAGAAAGATAATCTAGTAGAAGAGATTTAATAACATACTTCACAAAAGGAGGAGATACCTGAATCATCAATAAATGTACAGAAAATACTTAATACCATGCAAATTAAAACCACACTAAGCTGCCACTCTACGCATCAAAATGACTAAAATAGAAAGACCTACATCCCATGAAGCGGGATGCCACTGGAGCTCAGGCTCTGCTGGTGGGAAAACTGCTTGGCATCATCTCCTGAGACTGGACACTCTAAGGACCCAGCATCTCTGCTCCTAGGAATGTACCAAGAAAACAACAGCACATACAGCCCAGGAGGCCTGCACACATCAGCCTTGTTCTACCTTGACAGAGGCGGCCACCACTAGACTGGATAAGCAAGCCAGGAGTAGCCGTACAGCAGAGTATCACACCAGCAGTGCCAATGCAGGCCACAACCGTTGTGTAAAAGAAACCAGGCACAAAACAGGACATATTATTATGAGTTTCTCTTAGTTCAAAAAAGCAAAACCATAATTTGAGGGTGCATGGTTAGATGGTAAAACTCTAAAGAAAACAGGAAATGACAGTCATAAAAGAGGATAATGGGGAGAGCAGGGGTGTAGTGGTTAGGAAGAACCTGAGGGGTTCCAGAAGGCCCATTCTTCTCTTTGTTGTTACTCTTGTTGTGGTGCTGGGGCCTTACACATGCTAGGAAAGTGCTCTACCACTGAGCCTCATCCCCTGTCCCCACTCTCCTTTTTTTTTAGCCAGAGTGGTAGTCTCACAGGTATTCACTGTGTGAGGATTTGTTGGCTGTTTCTACTTTGGACACTGTGTGTGTGTTGTTTTTTTTTTTTTTTAATAAGGCTCATAATACTGGTTCCTGTCTTGTATTTTAGAAGAAACATTAAGCTTTTTTAAGAAAGCAATTAAGTTTGTTAAAATTCATATATTGTGTTTGTGTTTATTATGTTGGTCGCCACTGGAACAGGAATATGTCTGAATCTGTTCACTTTCAGAAGACCTCACCTCCTAGGGCCCCTGTCTTATGCTGTGATGCGGGTCATGCCCTGAGGTTATATAGAGGTATATCAGGCATCTTCCATTGCTTCAGAGGAAATGGAGTAGAAGCTTCCTGGAAAGAGAAAGATACAGATGACTAGTGAGCTGCTTCTGTTGAGGAATTTGGAAGGCCAGTTGGACTGTACTGTCACTTTAATATTGTCCTGTTGTTCTCATCTATAGGAATGGAAAACTGGAAAGAGGAAGGCCGAGAAAGATGAGCTGGTGGGAGTTATGATATTTTCCACCATGGAACCAGAGGCACCTGACTTGGACCTAATAGAAATGTAAGAGCCACTGCCAAACTTTCCTTCTGTTCAGTCTGCATGCAGACTTAGCTTACAGTCTTTCCCAGCATTGCTACAGTTGGAATTCACTTGGTCAGATAAGAGTTTGCAGAGTGAGTGGGCTTTGTAGTCAGATGACAAGGAAAACACCTGTGTACGTGGAATTACCATCTTTCTAACCACATCAGATTAAGATCTGCTTCCTTGAAGTCAGGGATTTCATAGTTGACACAGTGTTAGTTATTTCCGATGAAGTGTGATGAGACAAAATGGCACAGAGCCACCAACACCCACATAGTATCCAGTGAAGCAAAGTGGAAATCCTTTTTTTGTTTTATTTGTTTTGGTTTTTGACAGTGCTGGAGATGGAACCCAGGGCCTACTGTGTGCTGCTAAACCAGGGCTTTACCATTCAGCTACTTCCCCAGCCTGGTAGAAATCTTTTGAGCCCTGCTTTGAAGGAAACAGTCTCTAACCTGCTTTTTCTGTGTGTTTTTAATCTGTTGGTGTTACTCATTTAATCTTTGTTAAATACAAGTTCAGTTGAAATTTTCAGTTAGCTTCTTTTCTATATAAGGACTAATAAGAAATCTTGGATATTTTTTATTTTAAGAATTTGTCTTCTTATAAAATCATTACTATGTGTTGTCAAAAATTATATATACTTTTTTTTTTTTTTTGGTGTGACTGGGGTTTGAACCCAAGGCTTCTCATTTGCTTTAGGCTTGCTAAACAGGCACTCTGCTGCTCAAGCCACACCTACAGTACCCAAAAAACACAAACACAATACTCTAATTACCCAGAGGGGGTGGGGAGAACTCAGGATATTATGTGGGTATATAGGCTTCCAAATCCTCTATACGTGACTACTGGAAAATTTTGTCTAAATATAATGATCTTACTATATATTCTGGCTTTTTTGCTTTTGGTTTGGTTTATAAATATTTGATGCTAGGGCCTGAACCCAAAGCCTCGCACAAGCTGGACACTAAGATACACCCTCTGGCCCTACATTCTGTTTCATAATCTTTGTTTTCATTCAGTATTACACTGCCGTCTTTGCAGGTTGGTAGATACATGTACATCCTTAAATTGGTCTTACCGTCAGTACCACTAGGTGGCGTGGTTTCTGTCTGTGTTCCATTAAAATATTTGTTGGAGTGAATGAACAACTACCATTAGTGCCCCCAGAATTTTCCTAAATAAGATACTCAAGGGATGCCGAGTTCACTTCCTTTAGAATAATTGTTAGTTAATCCTTATCTCAACCAGCAAAACCCCTTGTTCCTTCCTATTATTGCTTATGCTCTCTCTACAACAAAATTAGAGATAAGGGCAAAATAGTTTCTGCCGGGTTTTGAGGGGGTGGGGAGGAGAGGGAGGGGGCGGAGTGGGAGGTAAGGGAGGGGGTGGGGGCAGGGGGGAGAAAGGACCCAAGCCTTGTATGCACATATGAATAATAAAAGAAAAAAAAAAGAATAATTGCAGTTAAAATTCACAAAGAATTGAGGAGGAAAAGAATCAAAGTTAAAATATAAATGGCAGACTTCTAAGCAGTTCATTAAAAATCAGAATCCAGCCTATTTGAAGACTTAATTTTGTTGAAGGGCAGTTGCTATCACGGAAGAGACATGGTTCTGTTTGGTGTGTGTCTCTCTGACAACATTGCTTGTCCTCCTCGTGTGACTGACAGCTCTCTCTGCCCCCAGAGAACAGAAGTGCGATGCTGTGGGGAAATTCACCAAGGCCATGGATGATGGTGTGAAGGAGCTGCTGACCGTGGGGCAGGAGCACTGGAAGCGCTGCACAGGGCGTAAGTGCCACTCTTCACGACTCAGCTGTTGTGTGACTTGATCTTTGTGGGGACCCTGTCCCACCCCCAGAAGTGACCATGATGAACTGCAGTAGTGTCACTCCCATATGCTTGGCCCAACCTCATTTTGCTACTGTAATTGAAAACCGTAATTGACCTTATCATAGCCAAATCAAGAAATCTCATAATGCTGGTTTAAATTTAAATTCTGGTTATGTGGGGTTTTATAATATGTGGATAGTTAAATGTTTGCATGTTTAGAGGGTCCTGGGAGTATTTTTAATCTTAACATTTTATTTTATTTTTGAGACAGAGACTTGCCATGTAGCCCTGATCCTCCTGCCTCAGCCTCCCAAGTGCTAGGCTTACAGGCATGCACCACTATGCCTGGTTCATGATTTTGCTTTTTAATCTTATCCATGTGGTGAGATGTGGTATGTTTGGCTAAATTCATAATTTTTAGGAAAAAACAGTATTATCAGATGGGACACACAGGCTAGGTCACCTCTCAGGAGGGATGATTGGTGAGCTACGGTTCTACCCTCTCTTCCCAGGCTCTAACAACTTCCTCTTTCCCTGTCCTTCATGTGCAGACTGTCATGCTGTTGAGCCTTTTTTTTTTTTTTTCCTGTATCCCCAGAATTAGGCAGCTGTGCTGTCAAATAGCCCAGGATAGAGCAGCACAGTCAAGAATCCAATGACACTGTTCTCTGAGTATAAATAAGACGGCTAAGGTGTAGCTCAGTGGCAGAGCACCTGCCTGGCATGGTGAGGCCCTGACACCAACATCATAAAATAAATAAGTTAGTTAATTACTTATTAACTAATTAAATTTAAAAATTACAAATTCAGTTTTTAAAGTAATGAATTCATTTTAATTTTAAACTTCTACAGGGCCATCCTAACAAATCTTAAATTTATGTGTTTTAAGTGACCGCAGATCTTACAGTCATACTTCTTGAGGTCATCATGCAAACCTGGATTATGGTTTTGCTTACAGAATCAAATCCCTTATTTCTGATGCCTGCCAGCTCCATTCTTACATAATCCATAGACCAAACTTACAGGGAATACTGACTCAAGGCTGCTTGTTAGGGGTAGAAGAGAAAGATTGAGACCTTTGTGTAGGATATAACTTCTCTCACAAATTTGATTTTAAAAATTTCTAATCCATAAAGTGAAAATTCTGTGTGGTAGAGTACATAATGAGTGTCTTTAACCCCAGGGAAAGGCAAAAAGTACAGTCAGTACAAAAGAGTAAGCAAGGTATTAAAGAACAGAGTTAATGAAGTTTGGATTCAGGTGTCCTGATAATCTGTAACTTAGATCAAGCAGAGGTTCTTTGGAAAGGCCACAGGTACCCTTTAGGGCACCAAGTGCAAATGCAAGAGCACTGTCTGAAATTCAGGAACTTCTCCGGAGGTACTCCAGAATGACCCTAGAATCGTAGAGTGTGAGCACCCTAGGTAGGAACCTTAGTAGCGAGTCATCTCGTACTGGCGAGGAAACAAACACACCTCTCCTCTCTGAGCCCATTTTTCACCTCACTTTGTTCTTTGAGCTTCTGTTTGGTTGGTTTTGGTTTACATGTGACCTTGGACACATCAGTTACTGGCAGCAGCTTATATTCCTAGCCCTCCAAATGGAGATGGTGTCTCTGTGTCTGCTAGACAAGATTATTGTAATGACCAAGTTGTGTGAACAGGTTTTACAAGCTAGGAATCTTCCAAATTCCATTCAGTGAAGGAGTATACAAGGTGGTTGATCATAATAGCATCCATCATTAATTGAGCAACAATTTGAAATGACAGTTGATTAAAGAAATGACAAATTGAAAACTCATTTTGCATTAACATTTTATTAAAAGAAGATGAATTCTTTTCGATCACCTCAAATGTCTTTTACTATGAAGTAATCACCATTTTAAAAAAAACAGTTGAATCTCATTTCAGTCTTCTTAGAGGACTAGTTAATAATTTATTCTTTCTTCTTTTTCAGCATTACCAAAGGAATATCAGAAGATAGGAAAAGCCTTACAGAGCTTAGCAACAGTGTTTAGTTCTAGCGGTTATCAAGGTACGTGTTTGTTTGCTTATAATATTTTTATTTTTAATGAGCACACAATAATTATACATATTTATGGATTATAGTACGATATGTCAATACTTGTATGCAGCATGGACTGATCATATTGGGGTGATAGCATTTCCCTCTCCTTGTCATTTCTCTGTATCTGCAGCCTTCAAGCACCTCTCTTTTAGTTCTTAAAATATGTAATAGTCCATTATGAACTATAGTCGCTCTGTTGTGCTATAGAACACTAGAATTTATTCCTCCTAATGAACTTTCCCCTGCTCGTCCTACCTCCTCGTAATCATTGTTCTGTCCTCTTCTACTTTGAAATCTATTCTTCTGGCTTTCACATTTGAGAGAGAACATGCCTTTACTGTCTTGTCTAAACCTGTCATCTCTTCAGGATCTTACAGGCAAACAATAACCTTGTGCATTTCCTTGACAAGGCTGCACACACACACAGGATTTTGCAGTCTCACCTTTGACTTTGGAGAAAAGTGGAGGGTAGTTATCACACTTGTATTTTCTTGCCAGCCTGTTTACCTTCCTTTGCTCTCAGTATAGCTCTTGTTTAAATGTAGCAAGTTTCTGTGGAGAGTAGCACTCTCCCTTCATCTCTCTGCCAAATTCTGTCAGGTTTTATCGTTAAGAAGGCAAAGGGGAAAAAAGGCCAGATTTCATCAAGTCTCTTTGAAGAAATGACGTCTGAAGTCTTTCCTTAAAGCACATTGTTTTTAGTATATCTCATAAGTGAATATCTTGTGTGGGAGTTAGAGTTCCTTGTACTTACACATTGGCAACACTTGCAAGTGTTCCTTAGGAAAAGGGAAATGTTTTTGTCAGCTGGGTGACAGGTGTTAAATTTGAGTACAGGAAGCTGCCTTATTTGTGGATTTATTACATGCAGTTTTGACCAAGCACAATCAAAAAACATTCCGCCCTGCATAACCCAGCTCAGTTGATGCAGAGAAGCTCTAGGGAGGCCTCCGTTGCCATCATTTGTGTCAAGCTCTACTCATGCTGAGCATTTGCAGCTTTTCCTCAATATCATTTCCTAGAACCATGTATCCACGCAGATACCAAGGGCCTACTGCATCTCCCATCACTTATAGAAATGATAGAATTGGTGCTTCACCAGGGTGTCGATCCTGGTACTCAGCAAAGACAAGACAGTTTCTGAATATTTTAAGGAATAAGAAATTGTCACCAAAATGTAAGATTTGGGGTCGCATGCATGAATAGTTCTCATGGGCCTGGCTTGCCTGTGCCTTATGAACACTTACAGACTGAAAGGTACCTAGGAGATGTGGTCTAGATGAGGAACCTGAGCCTCTATGACAGAAGCACCTTGGCCTGGGTGACAGGTGGTTGATGGAAGCACCAGGACTAGAACTGGAGCCATTGTTTGGGTCCACGTGGGTGTCCAGGCACCCTTTCACCTTCAGGGTTCTGTGGTAAGTGCATAGGATGAAAACGTTTGTTCTAGAGTCTCCAGGAAGTCACTAGTTGGCCCCCATCCTTATGTGTCAAACTCACCTGTAGCCTAGGGTGGCAGAGCTCTCCCCTTTCAGAATGTGGTTGATTTGGATTCTTTCATTTGTACAGTGCTTCAGTGATACTTAAGGAAAAGTATGACTTTTTTACTTTATTTGGTATTTTCTTATGTCAAGAGCAGTGGTCTCTTGTGTAGTGCACATCCTAACTGGAAGTGAAAGCCTAACAATTATCCTAGTAATTTTAGAGCTAGGCACTAGGTTATAATACACATGCCCAGATTTGGGAGTTACATGGAAAACTGAGAAATCATTCAGATCTAAATTATACAATTTTAAAATATTAGCTCACTTTGTCCAAGGGAACAACTTTAGCAATTCTGAAGGAGATGAGGGTGTCTCACCACTCACTAGATATGATGCTGGTAACAGAGGGTGCAGAAGATTGACCAAATGCCTTGAAAAGAGACTGGATGTGATGATACATGCCTGTAGTCCCAGCTATTCAGAGGTGGTGATTGGGAAGATTGTATTTCAAGGCCAGCATGAGCAAAAAGTTAATGAAACTCCCATCTCAACAAAAAAGCAGGGCATAATGGTGCACACCTGTCATCCCAGCCATACAGGAAACATAAATGAGAGGATCACGTCTGTGGCTGGCCCAGGCAAGAAGCATGGAGATTCTACCTTAAAAATAACTAAAACCAAAAGGGATATGGGGATGGCTCAAGTGGAAGCCCTGAGTTCAAATCATAGAACTGTAACACCGCCCCCCCCCAAAAAAAAAAGCTCTTGAAAAGAGAAGACTTGGCAATGTGGGAAATGATTTCCAAAGAAGTTCTTTCAGAAGCTTTACACTGCAGACATATCTATTCACATACTGTCATTGTCTTTAAAATAGAGCAGAATCCAATACCTTCAAAAAGATCAGGTTTTCTCCAGAGTTTTATACTCTGTGTAATTTTAGCCTGAAGTAACATAGAGGAAAGGAAATGTAAAGAGCGGTGTGAGGAAAGGAAGAAACAGCAGTAGGTTGAGGCCACCGCAGAGCTAGTGGACACCTAGCTGGAAGGTACGCAGCGAGAGAGGTGACCAGTCAAACACTGTGCCTGCCCGCAGGTGTTCTTCCCTTTAATCCTTCAGAGTGCTGCAAGCTGCCTAGTGAGCCCTCCTACTTTCTGTACTGTCATCTGTCCGTACGTTATTGGATACCCCTGTACGTGGCACTTCTTCTAGTATTAAAAATACACGCTCTAACGTTTTTATGTTAAACATCATTCAATTTACTAAAGTTATTAGTTTTTAAAGAACCATTCAAGTTCCTATTAACTAGCTTCTCCCATTAAAGAACAATGGAAGTCACTACTGTTGAGTACTGTGTTTTAGAGCAGTGCTTATATGATGTGGTGTTGCAATCATGCAAATCATTCCATTAAATATTACTGTCACTGTCCCTTTAGCAGTAAATGAGATAACATTGGAATAATGCAAAGACTGTTAGTGTGACCCCTGCCAAACTCATGAAATACTTTACATTCTATGGCTTAGCATATGGCAATAAGTCAATAAATAATCTTAAATTTTTATCTTTGGAGGAAGACAGGGACAGATATAGAAACCAGACTTCTGATAGCATCTGGTTTTATGGATTTGATTTTGAAACTGTGTGAATGTTTTACACAATTATTAGAAAACAAATTTAAAACACAATGGAGGGAAAAGTCCCTTATAACCAAAAAGCAGAATCACACACATGACCACATACACCAAGGTGAAGACATGACCCATGGAGAGGAATTTTCTCAAATCCCCTTCAAACAGCATTGGTTGTTCATTCCTGCTAGCAGATGCCTGAAGGTAGAAAGACTGCAAAATGATTTTAGTCATTTTCACTAATCGTGTAATTAGCAATATAATATTGATATTCTAAAACTATTTTATATAATATAAGGTAAAGCAAAGATAATACTGTTGTTAGCAATTAGGATTTGTAAAATAAAAACTTTTTTAAATCAAGAAAACCCTTACAGTCCTAAGTTTGAATTGGAAGTATTGGCATGAGCTCATTATGTGTTTGCCTCTGTTAAAAAAAAGTTACAATTTGTCCTGAAAAGGCCTAGAGACAGTTAACCCATCCAGTAGTAAGAAGCATCTCCTAGTACCACACCACATCCCAGCAGAATGCTCTTGGCTCCTCTCAGAAGAACACAGGTGCCAGTTTTAGAGCCTTGCATAGGCCAATGGAAGAGAATTGGAGCATTAGTGAAAGTAATAATTGCTGTGGAATGAAGCATGTCAAATATATCTAAATCCAGAACTGTAAAGGTACTTTAAAAGTTAATCTTGCCTGTATAGCTATCCTTATCTCAACCAGCAAAAACCCTTGGTCCTTCCTATTATTGCTTATACTCTCCCTTCAACAAAATTAGAAATAAGGGAAAAATAGTTTCTGCTGGGTAGCGAGGGATAGGGGGGGTGGTAAGGGAGGGAGCGGGGGAAGGGGGGAGAAATGACCCAAGCATTGTATGCACATAACAAAATAAAAATTAAAAAAATAAATAAATAAAATAAAAGTTAATCTCGGCTACCTTTGGAAGATGGTGGGGATCAATTTATTATTCTGATACTATTAAGGAATCAAGCTGGACATGATGACTCACTTGTATAATCCTAGCTACTTGTGAGTCACAGATCAGGAAGATCACAGTTCAAGGGCAGCCCAGACACAAGTTCATGAGACACCATCTCAACCAGTAAGAAGCTGGGCGTGGTGGCTCATACCTTTCATCCCAGCTATGTGGGAATCATAAATAGGATTGCAGTCCAGGCCAGCCCAGGCATAAAAACGAGACCCTTGTCTCAAAAATAAAGCAAAAAGGGTTGGCGGAGTGGCTCAAAATGTTAAGGCACAAGGCCCTGAGTTCAAACACCAGTACTACAAAAAAGAAAAAAGAATGATAGAAGAGGAATAGCACCACTAAGTAGAAACTATTGGAAACTGTATCTTCTGGATCTGGTCAACCACTATGTGAGGACATGGCAGAGACAGAGGAACGTGTAAGCATCACTACAGAGATGTGGTTGGTGACACTGAGTGTGGGGGATAAGGCACATGACCCATGTTCCTCAACACTCCACAAGAAGGAAGTTTGCAAGAAATAAAAACTGTAGGAAGAAGAACCCACAGAAAAATATAACATATATCTCCTGTCTGCCACATGAACCTTCCTTGTATCCTGCTTCAAACAGCCAGCCTGCCCTGAGATGCCAGAGGCTTACACGCTGGCAGTGTATACAGCAATGGTCTTCTCCTAGGTGTCCAGTGGTAGTGCCCTTATTTTCTAAAGGGTCTTTATCTTTTGTGGATGAAGGTTGTATGTCCCGCGAAAGGGGAGGTAGGGAGTAGAGAGATAGACCAGTTGCGGGGGTGTGGGGGGGGGTGGTCTGATGAGGAGTCATGAGACATTCTCACTTGTTCTGAAAATTTATATAATAAAACTTGCCCATAAAACATGTACTAAAAATCTAAAAATTATTTTAATAGAAAAAATGCAAGAAAAATATTCATAACTTTTAGCCACTGACAAGACTGTGATCTTTTTTTCAGGTGAAACAGACCTCAATAATGCAATAACAGAAGCAGGGAAGACTTACGAAGAAATTGCCAGTCTTGTGGCAGAGCAGGTACTCACATAAGCACACAATCCTAATTAAGATCATATGCTTTCCAATCCACATATTTAATTTAAAACCTATTTTAAGATAGAGCCAAATAGATATCCTTTTCTTTACTGTTCCTGTGTACCTTTGCTAATTGTGTTAGGTGAGAATGTTTCTCAGAATGTGTCATCAAGACCTGAAAGAGGTTGGGGCTGTAGCTCAGTGCCTGCTTAGTACTTGTGAGGCCCTGGGTTCAATCTCCAGCACTAAAAAAAAAGAAACCTAAATGACTGTTTACTTGGCATCTCTGATCCGCTCTTAGCCATCAAGGGGTTAGGGGTTATAATGTAGGCAGGAGAACACTGGCTCGGGTCTTCTTGGACAGTTGCTTAGCTTCTCTGAGCCTGTGTTTCCTTACCTGTTATGTGGTCTTGGTAGTACCTACTTTATCTGGTTACTAGGATTTAAAAAAAAAAAAAAACAATGCTGGGGGGCAGGTTATAGCTCAGTTGTAGAGCACCTGCGTAGCAAGCATGATGTTCTGAGTTCAAACTCCAGTACTACCAAAACAAAAACAATACCTGCCACAATTCCCAGCCCAGGGGAGTCTTTACTAGACCCATTTCAGTTCTTTTTACAGATAACAATAAGTTCCCTTAAGGGGAATAATCATAATAAGCTGTCTTAAATCCCTAAATTTAAAAATATAAATAAATTCAGATGACTTCTTGAAATAATGTGTTAATATATGAACACACATGTACACACAATAATGTGGTTAGTATCTACATTGCTGATACTTAAAAAATAATACTTTTTAGAACTGTAACATAGATGTCAAAAATAATAATTCAGCAAAAATGGAAAAAAATTAAAGTTGCCACTTCAGGATTAACAGGGTTTTAGATAATATCTTTATATTCTCTGCTAAAATATAACAACGTCCGCTTTGTAAACATACATTATTGACTAATTTTTTCCCTCATAGTGTTGTGTTTCAGACCACCTCAAAAAAACCTAATTTTATAAATCAATCTAAAAAATTGTGTAATAGTCTATCATTTTCTTTACAGCATATCATTTGGAGTCTACTCATCTTGGAGATTGTTTTCTTTTAGGAAAACTGGTCTAAGCCCAACCCCAGTTATTCAGTATCGTACAAGAGGGTTTGGTTATCATACTTCCACATCCTAGTTCTTTTCCTTGATTTTCTGAACTCCTCTGCCACTGACAGCCAGCTTATGTCTTGTAGCCAAAAAAGGACCTTCATTTCCTGATGGAGTGCAATCATGAGTACAAAGGCTTTCTCGGCTGCTTCCCAGACATCATTGGTGCTCACAAGGTAATGGCCACAGTGTTCATGAGAGAGGGTACAGGTGAATCCTGGCAGATGTGCACAGTCCTGGTTATTGTTTTATTTACTTTTTTTTTTTATTGTGCTGGGGGTACATCGTGGCATTTACGAAAGGTCTTACAATATATCAAATATATCATACTTGAATTCACCACCTCCATCATTCTTTATCCCCTCTCCCCTCATTCCTAGAATAGTTTCAAGAGTCTCATTTTTCCATCTATCATGTGTATATGGTATTTGCACTATATTTATCCTCCTACACCCTTTCCATACATCCTCCCCACCACACACTGGTACCAACCTCCCAGACAGGACCTGTTGGCATAATTGTTTTAAATGCTCAGTGTTGTGTTGTTTTGGGGGGACAGGGTCTTGTTGCATAGCCCAGGCTGGCCTTGAACTCCAGATCCTCCTGCCTCAGCCCAAGTGCTGGGATTACAGGCAGCTTAGATGTTCATCTTTATCAATGAAAAAGAAGCTGTAATTCCCACTATGAAGGTTTTTAAACTATTTTAAAATTGGTTTTGGAGTATCATCACATTTTAATTCAGGTTCATTTTTCTCTTGCTTTTTCAAAATCTGTTACCTTAGTCATGAGTATTTGGCATGTGGTACTCTGGTATATTGGGATGTCCTTGGATTTGTTAGAGAAGTCTTCATAAAGGGCTGGTCTGTGATCTAACAATGTGGGCATGTTTGCTTTATATGCAATGTTTGCATGTATGTTTGCTTTATAATTTAAGCACCATGAAGGGGTGCATAGGTAAATGAACCTTGTATGACTTCAGATAACTTAATATAGAACCCAAAACAGTTACCTTCTCGTAGGAATTTATACCAGCAAGTTAGAGTTCTAGGCATGGAGCCTAATTATGCAGAAAAGATATAGTTTTCCTTTGCAGACGGCCCTAATCAACTAGCAGTGGATGCTACGGAAGCAGATTATACAACTACTTCTTTCTCAGCATAAATTTGAGTCAGTGCCTCTTACAAAAATCAAAGTAAAGGCAAGCCTTACAGTTGGCACATTCAAACACCAACTCATAAAAACTCCATTTTATAATAAAAAAGAGACACATTGCATTGTACCTAATCACATGACTTTCTGAACCTATGGGATGCCTGTTTTCTTATTTTATACCACTCTTAGAAATATTTGAGAGACCATGTGCTATTTGGTTTTCTCTTCTGTTGTAGCATAAAGCTGAAACTTTCGGTTAGTTACATTTATCAAGCAGTCTTTTGGTTTCCAAGAGACTTGAAGGAAATTGAATTTAGACGTTTTCCTCTTTTCTTTTTTGTTGCCATGTTTTCTTGTTAGGGCCAAGTCAGTTACAGAATATATAAGCATTACTGTATTGTATGTATATATGTGTGTATGTGTGTATTGCAATATGGGGAATTGAACCCAAGGTCTCATGAATACTAGGCATGTGCTCTACCACTTGAGCCCTGCCCCCTCTGCCCCTTTCTGTTCATTTCTGTTTTTGAGACCAGGTCTCCCTACCTTTATCCCTGCTGACCTCAAATGAGATCCTTATGCTTCTACCTCCCTAGTAACTGTGATTACAAGCCTGAGCCAGGCCCTGCGGCATTGTTATATTTGTAAACTAATGACTAATCCTTTTGTTTTATCTTAGTAATACTGTTGCATTTTATATTTCACAGGGAGCAATAGAAAAAGTGAAAGAAAGTGATAAGCTAGTTGCAACTAGTAAAATCACCCCACAAGAGAAACAGACTATGGTAAAGCGCGTGGGCACCATGTCTTACGCTTTGCAAGGTAAGAAAAGGGGTCAGGAGTAGCAAAGTCAACGCTTCCCTTTCTAGAAGACCAAATGTGAGCAACAGTCAAATAAATAAGAATCAATTTAAAATACCTTCTTTAGCCCTTTGCTTGCAGGATCACAATGTCAATGAAAATCTGTAATATTTCTTTTTGCACACATGTACTTGTTATAGCAGTGAATGACAGCTTGATTAAACCTGTACATTTTGTTACTTCTTTGAGCTCTTGAAGATTCCTTTTGTAGTCCTTAATGTCGTAATGCTCTATTAAAATTCCAGAGTTTGGCTCTTAGCAGTCTGCAACTCTCATGCCTCAGGACCTGGAATGTAAAGGGGATTTTGTAGGGATCAATAGGCATAGTTTGACTATTCATAAGAGAAGACATTAGTTAATTTTCAGAGATTTGAGTGTGTTTGAGCAGATAGCAGCAGTAAATGGCTGTTCCTGGGTTTGGGTGGATGGGTGGCTTGCACATGCCTAGGCAGATGAAGAAAGATGTCCACCACTGAAGAGTTCAGTTCCTTTTTCTAGCCTCTTTCTAGGGCGATATGCTGAGAACTGGCCCTTTGCCAAATGCAGCCAAATTAGGTCCACTTAATGAGTTTCACCTAAGAGAGAAGACAGCTGTTGCTGTTTAAAATCTTGGGGGAAACTGATCGCTGTGCTGGTTTTATTGTAGCTGAGATGAATCACTTCCACAGTAACCGGATCTACGATTACAACAGTGTCATCCGCCTCTACCTGGAGCAGCAAGTGCAGTTCTATGAAACAGTAAGTGGCCCCTCCTATTCCTTTCGGCCATATAAAGTTAATGTTTGTAATCTTTAATCCTAAGTAATACATCAAAGGAGGCTAAATTTTTAAAAAAATCTTTATAAATTCCATCTGCCCTTTCTTTTTGAGTACCACGGGCTCTAAGGGCTTCTTCTGAGGAAGAGGCCTCTCCTCCTTCCCAGCTTCTCTGTGCCCCTGTGCACAGGGACAGTACTGAATGTGATGAGGTCACCTTGCCGCTCTGGAGGCTGCATCCTCTCAGCTGGGAAAGGAAAAACCAAACACTTCCTTTGTTCGTGACCCAGGTTCTCACAGTTAGCAAACAAGTCTCTGCAGGAAAGGCAAAGAGAGCATGAAACCCTAAATATTTCATTCAGAAAACTTAAACTTGAACAACTCTATTTTGTGGTGTTTTTGTTTAACAGAGTATATGGAGAACAGATCTGTAAATGATTCAGCTGTCTAAAGATGAGCTCTGTAGCTTTGTAACAACTACCTGGGGCCTGGCTTGCTCATTCTGGCCAACCAGTCCATGGAATTCCCTCCTGTGTATTCTCTCAGCTTGCATCCCTGCATATGTGACCTTTGGGCTGCACTCTGCCAAAACACCTGTCCTCAGTGATAAATTCTTGAAAGGAAGCTGATTCATCCTTAATGCATATTTGTGAATTGTGCATTTGAAACAATTGGCTTGGGAGACAAGCTTGTAAGAACTCACTTAAGCAGCATTCTCCCTCACAGTATGGGGGTCTCTGTCCTTTAACTGAACGCTTTTTCATAAATTGGTGCCATTAGGTCTTTGCCTTTCAACATGTATTAGATTGCATTTGTTTCAGAAAATTAGATTATACTTGTAATCTAATCAGAAAATTAGATTTGTTTCAGAAAATACTGGAAGGACAACTCTTGAAATTCTGATGTTGGTTTGTAAGAGTTTGTTATTAATGCTGTTATTAATGACATTGTAATTCAAAATACAAAATTGTTTTTACATAAATACAAGTGACCAATACAGTGTTGCCAGATTTTAGATTTAAGTTATGGCAGAGTACTCCTTAAATTGCTAAAATTTGTGTATTTGTTCATAGGGCAAACATGAATTGAGTCCATACCTCATATTTAGCTCCTCCTCCAAGTGTTTAGGAGCTGGGAATGAATATGACATCCGTGCCTTTGGTTGCACCTGGTGTCCTTAGGGGAGGCATAGGCACGTAAACAAAATTGCAGTGCATTGCATGCTCTGTGTATGTATTGTCCACACCCTGCATGGTAACAGAGCAAGGTGTACTCGGGGTGCCTTGACCTCCCAGGGAGCCTGCGGCCTTCATAATTACCCAGGAAAGAAAAGGACTGTGGGCAAGGGTGGTGACCTGAGCTGCTACACTCTGGAGGAAAAACAGCTGGTCTAGAAATGCACCCACAGGGCTGGGCTAATTGGGGACGGGAGCAGGGTTTCCTGTGGGCTGCCTCACTCCACAGTCAACAGTGCACTGTGGGGGAGGAGGGTCTCCAAGCAGTGCATCAGAAGAGACAGGAAGCATAGACTGGTGAAAGTGTCTGACAAGTTTGTAATGTTTAATTCATAGGAGTTGTAAATAGAGAATACTGTGAAGTCAGAACAAGAGTAATGTCTCAAAATTGCTTTGCTTTTTTGCCAGATTGCAGAAAAGCTGAGGCAGGCCCTCAGCCGCTTTCCTGTTATGTAGAACAGAATGGAACATGAAGAAAACTCCGAAGTGCTTCCTTCTAACTTGGGGCAATGCAATTCAAAGTATTTTTTTCCCTCTCATAAGAAAACAAAAAAAGGAAGAAAACCAAAAAGAAATAGGAGTTTAAGAAACCTATTTTCTTTATTAGCCAGCATAAATGCTCTTATTTAGGGATGGTCTTCTTTGGTTCATTTCCACACTCATTATTTAAACCAAGGGAAATTGTCTCTATTTTTGGAAAATACTTAAGTTTATCAGGATTTTGGATGGAGAATTAGGGGATCTCCCCCCCCACACTTGTATTTTACATAGAATCAAAATTTATACATTACCCATGATCTTCTAGTTCTTACCTAATATCAGATAATTAACTACTAAATGCTTTCTTAAAAATATGCCAGGATAAAGAAGTATGTTTGTATATTTTTATAATTCTCAGCCCTTTGGGGTTCCTGTCTGTTTAGGAAAGTCTGCACACCCTTCAATGGCATAGCTATGACACAAGTGCTCACCTCTCAGGAGGAAAGAAGCAGAGAGTCTCCCAGGCTGTTCACGTCCTCGAGGTGCATGGCAGATAGGCCATCGCAGGTCTCTTTGGTGGTCACAGCCTGGCAGATGAGCAGGTCCACCTGGCCCCCAATGCCTGTTGGGTCGTTTTTCCTGTGCTGCTCTTAAATGATGATCAGTACTTTCTCTTTGCACTCCTTTCTAATCCCAGGTAAGGCATGTTTTATACTGGAAAGAATGAGTCAGAAACTTTTTTAAAAGTCAAACTTTTTAAAAACTTCTCCAGCTTTGCCTCCCGAGAGGATACCCATCCTGATTCCTATGCCCGGGAAGGCCTGGGGAAGGAGCATCCAGCTTCCTACAGTGCTTCCAGCCCCCCTGCTCTTAATCCCTCAGTTGTCAATAGACAGAAGAAGTGCTGGCAGTAGCCTGGCGTCCACTTACTCTGCAGTGTAGAGCAGCAGGCTTTCAGGTGTTCTCTCCAGGAATGAAATTGAGTTTAGCGCCTGTCCTCTCCACACTGCATGGGAAAGTTTAGGGTCTCAACTGGTGGTGACCTGAACTACATGCAGAAGCGTGCAGAGTGCAGAATGATGGTCATCCTGACCATCCTGGCCTTCAGGCAGAGTGTGCATCCTACTGCGTCAGCTAATGGCACAGGGTCACAGCTGCCAGCTTGAAATCTGGCCACTCTCACACTGTGTGTCCTGCAGGCGGCAGCTCTGCCTTCCACAGTGGCCTTACACCTGACCTACTGTGTTCATTTTCCTGACCTCATGATTACACTTTAGAAAGTCTGGGCCAGCATAAATAAACCAAAAACTAAGTGATGAGGAAATCAAATGAACATGAATGTGAGGACTTGGGCTTCAGTATCACGGGTTTTTGTTAATGGTTTATAAGTAATTTCCCCATTGATTTTTCTTTTATAAAATTCCATAGAATAATGTTTATGACACAGTCATTTAATATATGTACAAATTGTAAAGAATATGTATAAATATTTTACACAAATGTAAGAGCATGTAGAAGTCGACATATAAATAAATTGTTTAGAAAACTGTGCAGTACATTCTCAGTGCACTTTTTCCAGACACTTTTGGTGTTTTTGTGTATGATTGGTTTGTTGTTGTTATTTGTTTCTCCTTCTGGCTGCCAAAAAAGTCAAGTAATCACTTTCTCCCACAAACATTTCTCCTGACATGAATTAATCTTTAGTTCCTTAAGTCTGTTATCAGTCCTGGAAGCATGTCATAAGCTATAAGAAACAAATGCAGTTCTCCTGTGCCCTCCTCCCTGGTGTGATTTTTTTTTTTTCTTTTGAGGTACTGGGGTTTGAACCCAGGGCCTTGCATATAATTAGGCAGGTGCTCTACCACTTGAGCCACACCTCCAGACCTCCAGATGTGCTGATTTAATTATAGAAGGACTGGGCCAGGAAAATGGAAGTCTAAGAAGAAGGGATAACGTGAACACGCTGAACAATAATAGCTGATTGTGAACCAGGGAGAGTAAGAGAACTTGAAAGAAAATCAAAGATAATCCACTGGGTATTAGAACTGAGAGGATTCTCCTTCAGGTGAGAAGTTTTAATGATGTGGTGTAGATTTCATTCTCTAGGGTGGCTCTTATATGTTGATGTTTGATTTCTAAATACTTCAGATACCACAGAAAGAACTACTGTTATACCTTGTAACTTTTGCAAATCTTGACATTGGTCAAATAGCACATAAGTATTTGGAGAGAGGGAAAGTATGGTAGGAGAGAAGACCAGTCTATTTGTCAAGCAGGTAACACTGTTTGCCCCCAGGAATGGCAGTCCGAGGATGTCAACCCACCTCAAGGTTGGCAGGTGTCGGGATCGACATTCCCCACAGGTACTGGGTATAAAAAGGCTTTCCTCATACAGAGGAGAGATAGAGTCGTGGTCAGCTTCACTCATGGGCACCAGTTCCCCATGGCAGGAAGTGCCAGCATACACCTCTCTGCACTGCAAGGTAAGGACCCCATTTCTTCCCTCTTGGAGCAGAGCAGTGGGGTTGGCCAAGTGCCATATTGGACTCCTGCTGAAGAACAAAAATGCAGATCACACAACAGGAAAGATATTCCCAAGCACAGACAGGCCCAGCACAGGCCCTTATCCCTACATGAAGAAACATTCTGGTTGAGGCCACTGTCATGGGCCATGTGTGATTCCCTTTCCCAACATGATCAGTCCCATTGATCAGAGGAGATGAGGAGATCCGACCTAAAGGTGGGGAATTAAAGTACTGCAGTATATTTCTTAAAGTGGTAAAACTATAAAAACAAGAAAACAGGACACGTTGAGCACAATGACACACACCTGTAATCCTAGCTACTCAGGAGGCAGAGATTGGGAGGATCACAGTTCAAGACCAGCTTTGGAAGAAAGACCCCATCTCAACCAATAAATCTGGGATGTGGTGGCATGTGCCTGTCATCCCACCTACTCAGGAATCATAAGTAGAAGGATCACTGTCCAGGCCAGCATAGGTGAAAAAAAAGTCTAGACAATATTTGAAAAACACCTAAAGCAAAAAGTGCTGAAGGTGTGACTCAAATGGTAGAGCACTGCCTAGCAAGCTCAAATCTCAGTGCCACCAAACAAAAAAAAAACAGGACAGAGCTTCATGGTGGGCCTTGTCTGCGTCATGCAAGGTGAAACAAGCTGTTCGCAAAAGGATGGCTACTATCCTCATTGCATCCAAGAGACAGAGAGAGAGTGGTCAGTCACAAGGTGGGACTGTGGGAGGAAGAAATGGAAAGTTACTGTTTCCTGGGAAGTTTCATTTACAGGTTTGCTGTTAACCGTTAGCAAGTGGGACCAGAGCAGCCTTTAAGTGTAGAATTTGTTTTGTCCTTACTAAAGATCTTGTCAAATGTGTTACCTAACCATGTCTTCAAACTCTGGCTGGGACTGTCCGTCCTGCATCCAGTCCTGGCCAGGGGTTCCGGGAATGTGTGGCCTGCTTATTGATTTTTGGGGATGCTGCTTCTGCTCTCCTGTGAATACATAGGACAACCTTCAGTCAGTGTCAAGGGGACTCCCCGCTCTTCTCAGAGCCCTCTAGGGGGATTGGTGCCGTTATGAAAGAGGCCGTGAGATACCGTTTGCGCCTGTGGTAGAGGACACAGCAAGAAATTGCCATCTACGTGACTTGTCAAAAAACATATTTGGGAACATATAATTGTCAGTGCTCCTCCCTCTGGCCCTTCCTTCCCATGACAGTGGAATTAAGTGTTGACATAAAAAGGCTGAACTAAAGTCACAGGGAGAAGAAAGAGATGGCAGTTTGCATGAGCAAGAAACAAGGTGCTATGCTGAACCCTGGAATTCAGATTTGTTATGCAGTGGGTGTTGTCTCACTTGTCCTAACTAATACATCCCTTTTTCTTTATCGAACTAGAATATGCACACACCCTGACCCTAAACAGATGTCTGAAAATGTGTTGGCTTAACGAAGCAGGAGGATTTGAAAACCATATGGAAACTTTTCAGTCCATCCTGACATGAAGAGCGGGAGGAAGCAAAACAAACATTGACAGAAGCAAATGATTCATTGTATTGAGATTGAAATCTTTCAGTGATGACTTTAAATTACTTCCAGTGGCTGGTAATTCACACACCTACACAGAGCATGGCACGTTAGCACACGTGGTGGGTTTGTGGCACAGCAGAAGCAGACACTGGTGAACTCTATCACTGCATGGCGTATCTCAATCCTCTTAATGGCAAAGGACAGTTCTTTGAAGTTAAGACTTACTTTCTAACCACCTTTAGAGGAAGTTGGACAGCAGCTTCTTGTAACTTCTAAAATAAGATTTCTTGTAGCAGTGGCCTATATAATCCTGAAGGAGAAACAGGATTATGGATGACGCACAGACTGGAGGCAAACTATTCGTGTGCATTATTCTGCTCTTTTCCTGGGGAAAAGATTTGTACCTCTCATCAGATCCTTCAAGATTTAGGGCTGCTGCTTTAAGACAAAATCAGTGTCCATGCCCAGCCAAACCTTGATCTCCTTTGGTGTTACTGCTTTCTGTTCTTGGAATTGCTTCCCCTCCTCTTGCCTTTTTCTGACAGCACGGGGTTGAAGGAAAGTCATGGGCAGGGGCCGGGAGGGGTTGAGTACTTTGTCGTGTGTGGAGTCAGTTTCCCCTCAGCCCTCAAAGGTTCTGGCTGATGGCCCCAGGTCAGCAGTGGAAGTCTTTTCTGCTCAGGCTGACTGTGTGAGTGACAGCACACCCAAGACTTCCACACCTTTGGCTCAATGAGGGAGGCAGGGCAAGCAGCCCAGTGTGGGGGAGGAGAGGGTTCTGAGAGGCTGCCCCCTCCCCTAGCCAGTGCCACATGCAACTACAGATTTGAACTAGGGTTTGGGAAAGAAAACACAGGCATGGCAGAGGAGAGGAAAGGAAAGCAGAGAAGGCTTCACTGCTTCCTGCCCAGCCCAGCATTGAGGCAGAAAAAGCTTATTTAGCTGACTGAGCAAATCCCGAATGCAGTGGGAAAGCCCAGCTGTCCGGGCAGTGGAGTCTGAAGAGGGAGGGAGTGAGTCACTGCTTGCAGCAGCTGCAGAAACTAAGTCACCCACTGGTCCCGGGGGTTCCAGGCAGGCCACCTCATGCAGCTGGTGTTTAATTTGTAAATATGCCTACAGACACCAACCTCAGGGCATTTTTATATACAGAGCGTGGGTGGCTGGGAATCAAACCTAATACCCCCTGTAGCCAGGGTTCTTTAGGG